AGCTAGAAACAACCTGTATGTCTCTCAACCAAAGAATAGATAATGAAAATGTGGTACATTCCTCTTCCCTTTATTTAGAAAGACTTTCAGAGCTCAGCCTTGTGATTGGTTGTGTATCTCTGAATCTGCATGCATCAGTAACTAGATAGAATATCTCTGAAGACAATTAGGGTAGTAACCAATCTGATTACAGTAGATAGTAAGTTCAGGTACCCTCTCTAGTAGTGCTAGGAGTCTTATCTGGGGTTATCCTTGTAGACTCCTGGGGGTTTCTCTGGTACCAGGTTTTATCCTAACTCCAAGGGAAAAGGGGTAGATGGGAAGCAGAGGTGGGAAAGCGGGTCCTATTTGGAAGATAAGAGGGAGGGGAAAACTAAAATAAAATAAATTAAAGATTAATTATGGTAAACACAATACATAAAATGTGGTATATTTACATAGTGGAGTATCACTTAGAGATTAAAAAAGTGACATCATGAAATTTTCAAACAAAAAATGGATGAAAGTAGAAATAAAAACCAGCCTGACAGAAGAAAAAGTGGCATGTAGCCTTGAATACATTGGCACAGATGACCTTTTCCTAAATATAACACCAGTATCAAAGGCCCTGCGAGCAACGATCAATAAATGAAACTTCCTGAAACTGAGAAGCTGCTGTAGGGCAAAGGATGTGGTAAGTAAGACAAAACAGCAGCCTACAGAATGGAAAAAGCTCTTTACCAACCCCACATCTGACAGAGAGCTGATCTCCAAAATATACAAGAACTCAAGAAACTAGACACCAAAATACCAAATAATGCAATTAAAAATGGGTTACAGATCTAATAAGAGAATTCTCAACAGAAGAAACTTAAATGGCTAACACACACACACACACACACACACACACACATTTACTTATGAGCAGAAATTGGCTCTTAAATAAATGACAATTATGCTACAATCCACAGACTCAGACAGGTTCAGTAATGAGAAGGGTTATAAGTAGAAGCATGAAAGGAAAGTTAAAGGAAAATAAAATAGATTCTACAAGTGGACCAGAGTGGGTAGGGATGGGAGCAGGAGGAAGCAGGTGGAGGGGGAGACATAGATGGAATCTATGGACCTTTCAGGGATACTGTGTAAACCAGGTGAGGTACAGTATTCCTGGAATCCATGAGGATGACCATATTAAGAATACCTAGTAAGGAAGGATAAGGAGTCTAAATTGGCCATCTTTGTAGTCAGGTAGGCATTTGCTGTAGTGGCTTGATTACAGTCCTTTGAGTTTTTGGACAAGTAGGTCCATGAAATCCCTAAATAGCTTAAGCTGATGTTAGGACAGAATATCACTCTCTGAAAGCTGACAGGAATGCTCTGCTAATGAGGACAACACCCACACAGCTCATTTTACATAAAAAGGTCAAATTGGTCCCAGAATAACCAGGAACCAGAAACCCAGAGATTTGTGGCAGAACCAAAATGATTGAAAAAAAAAAACAATTAAATGATTCCTAATAGGATTCTGCTATACACATAGATCAGTGCCTTGTCAGTGGTCATCAGAGAGGCTTCCCCTGAAAGAAGATGAGGCAGAAACTCACAGCCAGGCATTCTCCAATTAGAGAGTCTAAATTAGAGGTATCCATTGGATTCCTAACCTTAGAGACCAGGACCCTGTGGTACAGGGGGAGGAAAGACTATAGAAGTCATAGGGGATGGAGGACACCAAGAAAATATATCCCATTGACAAAAACGAGTCAGTGCTCACATGGGCTTACAAAGAATGAGGCAGCAAGCTAGAGGCCTTCAGATTTCTTTACCTTTATATGTTATGCTTGATGTTTGTTTAGGACTCCTTGTAGTGGGAAACTATATCTCTAACTTCTTTGACTGCTCTTGAGACTCATTTCTTCCTTGCCTAGCCTTGATAAGAGGGCTTTTGCTTTGTTTTATTGTATGATGTTTTGTCCTGTCTGGCTTGTGCTTTTATGAAAAGGAATGGAAGGAGGGTAGTTATAAAGAGATGGAGATGTAGAGGGGATGGGGGAGTCAAGAAGATTTGAAGGAGGGGAAACTGTAGTCTAGATGCATTATATGAGAAGAGAATCTATTTCCAATGAAAATAAAAAGAATGTATTAGGCAAATATATTCCAAATTTTACAAAAATAAATATTTTAATTTGTAGGTAATTAAGTATAAATGTCAACAAGTACGTGGTACTTGCATGCTCATATACTAATAGTATATAATATGAAAAGGAAATTTTATACATACACACACCAATAAGTCCCAACAGAATAGAAAATTTTGTATAAAATGTCTACCAAATTTTGTTGAAAGAAATTGATAAAACACAAATATATAACATGAAAAGAAATTATATGGAAAGACACCCTCATCCTCATTCATAATTTGGAGAACAATATTTTTAAAACACCTATGTCCAAATTAACCCATACATGCTTTTCTGAGTTCAAGAAAAAGTTAAAAGAGATTCACAGAAGGATTTTATTTTTGACTTTAGTAACATTGAACTTATAATATGAATTCCAATGTCTTTGCTTCTCTTCAACTTATGGGAATAGTTTGAAAAATAATGAAATTAATTATTTGTGCATGTTTGAACGTAACACTCACACTTTTGTTTTATGACAGTTGGCTGTCAGGTGTTCAGAATATGACAAAGTCAGTGCTCTTAACCAACAGACACCAGAGACCAACCACACAGCTCTATCAAAATAAATTGTATCATGACATGTCCCATACTTCTTTCAAGCCTGGGGAGATGCTAGGGATAATATGGTTAGGACTTTTCATGTGTCATTCCTTTTGGGAGATAGGAGCTGTGATGATTACAAGTCCACACCCACATGAGTATTCCTACTGGAACTGAAAACCAGGCTACATCATTTCACTTTGTATCCAAACTTCACCACAGTCACTCTAGATAGTAACCAGACATCTGGTTAACCCCCCCCACCAGAAAAATTAGAGCTTTGGAAGTACCATGCACCTTTTTCTTCTGTAGGGAATAGGGAATACCCAGTGGAGAGTAGGATTTTCAACTCTTACCCCTACATTGACCTGAGAGTGTTAACTATGCAGACTGCCAGTCTCAGCCACCATCATTTGCTCACTGGCATTTAGGATCAGAATACGTATTATTTTGTCCTGAAAGACCCATGTAGAGGCTACATAGCAAATAACTTTACAGGTATTCCATGAGCAAATGTGGTATTGAATGTGTGTATGCACATGACATTTATTTCACAGGGGTTGGATTTTATCCTTATTCTCTTTTACTATGTCAAGAATAGTGTATGGTAAGAGTGTAGCTTGTTTGCCCTACCAGACACAATGTGGATGGTTTCATAGCAGGTCTAGATACAGGGACCTCAGGCCTAATTTTCAGATTCCTCACAGAGTGAATGAGTTCATAATTGTGGTTCAATTGCTGTGTTTATGAAGTAGATTTCTGTACTTCCTGCTCCAGCATCTTGATGAATTAGAAATAATTTATTTTTCATTAAACCTGTAGGATATCCAATTCCTAAAGGGAAGGAATATTTGAGTAAAACATCAAACCCCTAAGGAAATAATGACATTTAATGTCCAAGGTGCAATGTAAACCAATTATCTCCCTATTACACTGAGAAACTAATCCCTAGAGGAGTGTGAGTAATCACATACCCTGTTTATAACTGAAAATATGATAATATTAGTGACATATTAAAACTCTTACTTATCAGAGGCAAATGTGCTAAAAATTTCACTCTGGTGCTTGAGACAGCTTTGAGTTACATTAATAAATTATGATTTCTAGTTTGGTGATACTGGCTGAAGATACTAGAAATGTATCTGTGATGTAATCATTGTTCCAGGACCTTCTAAGTAGGTAATCAATGAGGAAACATCATATTTTTTAACTTAATAAATGAGAACTTTTGAATTCAGTTTAAATTATTGTCTTCTTTTGAAACTAAATTCCAGAGATATAAGTCACTACTTTTCATATTATTCACTATTGAGACTCAAGTGAAAATGGTATTAAGAATCTGTTCAGTGTGGGGTGGAGACATTAGGGATCTTCTTCAGAAGGCAGAAGCTTTAAGCAGTACTTTCTCCTAGGACAGAACCTCTATTCTCCATTTATAGCTAGTTTTTATGATAAGGTAATTAGCTATAACATTCTGAAGTAACTTCTAATTCTTTTAGAACCCTATGCTGATCTAAATTAGTGATAGTCTAATCTGTATTAGAAGTCAACATAATTTGTCAAGATACAAAGTTACAATATCATCATTGAGAGAAAGATTCAAGAAAAAGAAAAACCAGAAATGGGGGATGATGATTCTCTTGTGGTTAAGCTCTTTCTTTTCTTATCACTTGTTTTTCAGGAGTCATGTTTTCATAGAAAATTACTGACAGTCTATGTGAGATAGGCTTGATACTATACTTTGTTATTTGTTTGCTGATTATTGAGCAGAAAAAAAAATAAGAGTGAGGGCATGGATGAACATAAATGAAAAGTGTCTTCTGAACACAACATGAGAGTTACACATACAAGCTTAAAATAGTTGTGACAATATGCAGTAGACCTGTACAAAACCAATCCAGAGTAAATCCTAGCATAGAAGGGGGAGTATGCCAAGAAATCCCACCTTTGGCTAAGAGCAGTTTGTAAGTATAAGCTCCTGGGAGATGGAGTCAGTCTTTTCTAAGAAGGTAGTGTCCAGTGGAAGATCACACTTCCAAGAATGTGTGGGAAACAGATTTTAGCTTGATAAAGAATTTTAAACAGCACAAATTTGGGTAGGCAGAGAAGGGGGTATGATTAAAACTGGTATGAAATAATGTTGTCTGTGTGTGAGAGAGAAGAATTTATACAAGAGAATCATCAAAATTAAAGGAATAAATTCTTTTAGTAATAGTGTATGTTTATGAAAGACTGTTGTGGGAGTAACTGCATTTTCCTCTAACATGATTTCTCTTTGGCTTTGCTCACAGATTCCTTTAATGAATAATGGTCCCTGAAAATGGCTCTTTGGTGACTGAATTCATTCTGGTGGGATTAACAAAGGAGCCCAACCTCCAGTGTCCACTCTTCATCCTGTTTCTGGTGATGTATGTGGTCACTGTTTTGGGAAATCTGGGTTTGATCATCTTGATTGGATTGAATTCTCACCTTCACACCCCCATGTACTTTTTCCTCTTTAACTTGTCCTTTGTTGACCTCTGTTATTCTTCAGTGTTCTCACCCAAAATGTTGATGAGCTTTATATCAGAAGAAAACTTTATTTCCTATAGAGGATGCATGACCCAGCTTTTCTTTTTCAGCTTTTTTGGCATTTCTGAGTGTTACGTGCTAACTGCAATGGCCTATGATCGCTATGTGGCCATCTGTAACCCACTCCTGTATAATATTGTCATGTCTCCTAAATTATGTTTGACCCTTATGTTTGGTTCATACATGATGGCATTTTTTGGTGCCATGGCTCACACTCTATGTATGCTGAGACTGACCTTCTGCAATGCAAACATGATAAATCACTATTTCTGTGACATCCTCCCTTTGCTTCAGCTCTCCTGTACCAGCACCTATGTCAATGAAGTAGAAGTTTTTGTTGTTGTGGGCATCAATATCGTTGTGCCCAGCATAACCATCTTTGTTTCTTATGGTTTCATCCTTTCCAGTATTTTCCATATCAGTTCTACTGAAGGTAGGTCCAAGGCCTTCAACACATGCAGTTCCCACATAATTGCTCTTTCTCTATTCTTTGGATCGGGTGCATTTATGTACCTCAAACCATCAGCTGCCATGTCAATGGATGAAGGTAAAATCTCTTCAGTATTTTATACCAATACAGTTCCTCTGCTGAATCCCTTAATATATAGCTTGAGGAACAAAGATGTTAAAGTTGCCTTGATAAAGACAGTGAACAAGAGAAAGTGTTGATCTGAAAGAGTGTTCTTTGCCTGTAAAGGACTTGGAAAGTCAGTTTCATTAGTTCCATTTGTGTGTCCATTATCTTGCCCGTTTTTGTTGTTGTTAGTAAGGTGAAGAAAATTTGAGTCTCCTTTCAATAATTTATTTCTGCTTTTTACAGATAATGACTTTCATTTCTTAACATTGGCATGCTTAATTTATCTCTTTTCTTTTACATATATTAATAATTTCAGTGGCGAAATTTATGCATTTGAAAATACAATTTTTGCCTTTTCTTCCTTTGTAGAAAGATTGATGATCAATAATGACTACATTACACAGTATGTCGAGGAAGTGGGGGGCTCACATGGTAATGCCCTTCAGAAACATTCAGTTACAGTATGTTAATACCCTGGTCATTCCATACCCCCAATGAAGGAGACCCCATTTACAGATCACAAATGAAACAGGACACAGTAGAATTCAAGTTGCTTACTAATGTACATAAACACTATGAAGTAATCATTTTTCTGCAAAGATATTACATATTGCTAGGAAACACAGAATCATGTAGTGAGAATTCAGCTCATACTTCAGGGGTCAGTCCAACAGAGATTGCTCATCCCTTGAAGGACAAACTTTATTTAGCAAGGAAATAAGGATTATTGTCACCAGAGATGCATATCCCAACCTTATCTGCAAGACAATAAGGAATACTGCCTTCTGAATATGTCAACTCTCCCACTTGGAGATTCTTGTGTGAAGAACACTTTTCCTCACATTTTAGCTTGGGGATTCTTCCTGAGGCACTACAGTGTGTTGATTCTTTACTGGGCACATATTCTCTGAATGGTCTGGAAGAGAACTTTTCATTTAGAAGTATAGTTTAGATATATATAGAACATATACTGTGACACTTTTCATAACCAGATATATTTGTCCTAGAAGGACTGTGGACTTGTAACACCATGCCTTGTTATCTTGTTCAGACTACTGCATACAATTAGCTCACTTTCACCTCAGAGCAAGTTCAAACTAAAGCCTTCTGTAAAAAGAAAATTTTATAGCTTGCACAAGGTCAGAGTTACAAATGTCTACCAAAATTACTAAGAAAAGAATGGCAATTCTTCACTTGTCAATCTACTGAGAATACATCTGTGTCTTAAAGTTATCATTGGGTGCTGTGCCCTCTCCTGTCTGGCCATGGTTTTGTTTCTATGGCCTTGAACCCTTGTGTTGCCATGGTAAATGTCTCAGCTTATTACTTCCTCTAGGAATGTGCTTTTAACCAATGAGAAACTTCTTTATCACTTCAGGCTCCTGAAGGAGAAGAGATTTTAGTATAAAAGAAGCCAGAAGCAGAAACAGAGATGTCAGAGGCAGGAAAAGATTATTAAAGTAGAAAGAGGACAATAAAGAACACATGAAATAAAGAGTATGGCCTTCAAATTGTGTGCAAAGGATATATATATATATATATATATATATATATATATATATATATATATAATCTTTTATTCCCTCCCTTGCTCCTGAGAACCATTTCACCTCTGGAAACCTGGGTAAGCACTTGAACAGGTCTCTTAGCCCTTACATGTATTATTGACATTTTGAAATTTAGCATAAAAAAATCTACTCTTCTGTTTGTGTCTTGTCATTTTTAAATCCTTAAGTTAAGCTTCAGGAAAGCATCCAGTTATCCATCTGCAACCAATATTAATCTGCTTGATTTAATATTAACAATTTATTCATGCATATATTAGATATGGAATTTATATAAATATAGGATAATATTGTTTGGTGTTTTATCTTGTTTATAATTTTCATTAAAAAAACATTTTATGGGCATGTATGTGTACTTGTATGAGTTTAGGTACACTGTGGGTATTTATGAGCCCACAGAGACCAGAAGAAGGCACAAGAAGTACAGGGCTAGAGTTACTGAAGGTGACATGAACTTCCATGTGGGTTCACTGAACTGGACCCAGATCTGCAAGATCAGTAAATGTTTTTAACAACTCAACTATGTCTCCTGCCCATATATATATCATATATATATATACTCTTTTAATTCATATATATGTATTTTCTCTGTTATTTTTTAGTTTATACATTTTGTAATCTTTAGTCCACAAGTTTCCCTGTTTCTGACTGTATTATATCGTCCTTTCTTGCCCTATTACATATGAGTCCTATCTTCCTGGAAACACCGTTGTATTGCCTAAGATTTGGGGAGGGTTTCTTTATGGGTTTCCATTAAATTGGTTATTTTTCCTGTTATAACATGTGCCCAACTTATTATTAATTTATATGTGTGTTGTATGTGTGAATAAAGTACAACTGAAATCTAATTCTTTTGAAGAGAATTGAACTTTGCATATTTGTAGAGAGAAATCTTGAGGAAGTGTATTAAATAAAAGAAAATAGACAAAAGGAATGTTCCATTGCCACCCCTCCTCCCACATAAGATAATGAATAAGCAAATGGATAAAAAATTTTATAACTCATTTTAGGTAGGACAGACAATAATAATGGATAGTTAACTGAAAAATCTGATGAATCAACAGAACTATCTTTTTTTTTTTTTTCCCTACATGACCTTGTTGGGATCCCACTATTGCTAGGTCCACAAAGTGAAGGTATTTTCTTAGTCTTCCCTAAAGGATTTTATACTTTGATATTTGAGGGGAAAGTCAATATTGATTTGAAGGAATCTTGTTGGAGTCTAGAGACTTTTAGAAACTGTCATGTTTATTTTATTACATATCTATAGTGTGTCTATCATAATTACCCTCTATCATCAAAGTTTTATTTTTAATAATTAAAAGGAATAGCTTCAATGGTACCAAAAGGATCCATGCAAGGAAGGAAACACACAACAGTCCTATCCCACTATGATACCAGTAAACTACAACAATGACCAGAAGAACATGATAACTTGAATGGTGCAGTAGTGGCGTGAATACTATGGCAATATCCAACAAATCTAATTAGACTCATTACTCACTCAAGAAGATGAAAATCATTCCCAGTGCTAGGAACTTTTCCAACAACTGAGAGCTTGTGAAGTCATAGAGGAGAATTTACAATTGTCATTTTAATGAACCACTATGAATTCTAACTAGATTGTAAATATTTCTCCTTTTGCACATAGATAAGTGCATTTCTTATGTCTAATTAAGGAAACCTCTCTGTGAAACAAAGGGCAACCCTTATAGAAAACTACAAAAAATCAAAATGCAAAGTTAATTCAAGTCCCAACTGATACATCTACAACACACTCCTGAAGGATAAGGGATCATTGCAGTAAAGCAGGTGAAAAAATTTGTAAGAGTCAGAGGAACAGGAAGTTTGTTGTGAGATTGTGTATTCTAGAAATGTCAGAAGCTACACCGATGAAGTTTCACCAACATGGTGTCTAACCATGTTCTTAATGAGAACAATATAAATAGATATGCTAACATAGATTGAGGAAAACCCAGTGAGACTCGAACCCTAGACAACGTATTAAAGGCAACTAAGGAATAATGAGAATAGAGAGGGAGAAATGGTCTTCCCAGAGAAGAGCACAGCAATTGGTATCTACTGTGATAAGATCATTCAGGATAACATGAATATAAGTACCATTATACAGACAGAACAGGTTGTATTTTTATACTTAGCACATATATTCACATACATTTACACATATCTGTGTATCAACAAGTAAAGGAATAGAGATAATCAATTTGAAAAAAGGCAAAAGACAATACATTGGAAGAGGTATAAGAGGGAGGAAATAGAGAGGGAAATGATGTAATTATAACTTTAAAACACTGTATTTAAATAAAAATCAACTTGGTGAGGGAAGGTTTTACTTTATCTTATACTTCCAGATAATAATCTGTTACTGAGAGAAATGAAGGAAGGATCCTGGGGTCAGGATCTGACATAGTAGCCATAGAAGATCACAACTTATGGGCTTTCTCTTCATGTCTACTTCAGATGTATTCTTATATTACCCAGGACCAGCTGCCAAGGTGTGTCACTGCCCAAGATGAACAAAGCCTTCCTACATTAATCATCAGGCCAAAAAATTCCCAACAGACTTGTCCACAGGCCAGTCTAGTGAAGACAATTTTACAGTTGAGGTTTCCTCTTCCCAATGATTTTAGCTTGTGTCAAGTTGGCATAAAACTAGCCACCACAGCAAGTGTGGAATAATGACTTCCATTTACTCAACAGAATGTAGAATTTTATATCTGTTAAAAACAATAGGTCATACCCAGTTAAATCTAGATTGCCTGGTATGTTTTCTCAGTGTGTCATAACCTAGATGAAACATTTATACTTGGAAAACAATCCAAAATATTGAAGTGTTATTTTGTGTCTTTGATTAGGGGTTAATATATGGTTTACTTGATAAAGAGCACTGACCAAGTTGGTATCTTATTAGAGTGTTAAAAATCACTGTTAATAAAACATAAATATAAATAATGTATACTTCCATCTGTGAAAGGCAGTTATCTTAAAGGCACCATGCATCTCCATACCAGCACCTCAAAGCTGTTTCTCTTCTCTGTGAATGTGACTTTACTAACTTCTCCTACCCTTCTCCTGTCTCCTTTCTGATTCTGTTGAAAGCAGTCTCTGCATTGATTTTATAGATTCATTATATAAATGGGACCTTGCCAATTTCCTTTTGACCCACATATACAAAAAGAAAGAAGGAAGACCACAAATGGTCATGGGATAGTCTCTTAATGTTTGGAAATATTGCAGACAATGCCAATGTGAACAGCTGCCATCTGTGCATAAATAGTCTGATCCTATTGCTGCAATACAACTGCCATAGAGTTCAATCAGATATTGCATGCAAAAGTCCACTGCTCAAATGAAGACTAGTATAGATATCAAAATCAATCAGCATGACACTCTCTTTACTCTTTACATTTATTGTGTAGATCAGCTGAACTTATGAATGCATTCAAGCATTTTTGTTAATAATAAACTGATAAAATAGAAAAATTAGAGGATAATTCCTTGACTTT